TGTGAACAGAAAAGCAGGAAAATCGATTCGGTATCAATGTCAGGCGAACCTTTGTGAGGTTGGAATGGAATTTGAGAAAAGGTGAAGAATTTGCACATGAATTCTTTGTTGAAGCAGAATTTTATAGAGCATATTTTACATTAACTACACAAATAATGCTGTGGGGTTTGAAAAAAGCACCAATGCTCTTGTATTAAATCGGTAATTTTGATATCGGAAATTTTAGCAACATTCATGCTGGTGTTTTTGGTGGAGCCGTTTTGTAAAATAATTCAATTTTTCACTCCCAAAAATCGCATTATTGATATTTACAATGTATTTTTTTTAATAACAAGACAATTATAAGGAGTATTTTTTCAGTCTAAAATAAATAATTAAAAGAAGTAAATAAAGATGCACATCATGTCATAATTCACTTTAGAGAATTTAAATTTAATTTAATTCATGGAACATATAAATGAAAAAAATAAGTCATCAGGGCATATTTAAATTTATTCCTCACTTTAACAGGAGCCTGGAATCATAAGCTTTCCGTGTTGATTTTCGTTTTCAAAGGTATAAAACACACACGATAAGCCTGGCTGACCTTTCGCTGGGAAAGATTGCGATCGATAGTAATTACGCGGCACGATGCTTCATAAAATTTAATTACACCTGTCGTGTCTAGTTTCCCATCTATCCGGTTACAAAACTAATTAAAAACGAATTTGCCCATCCACTTAGGCCATTTCGTCCAGTCCGTGATTTGCAAATGTTACCGAATGAGAAAATAGTAAATAGTCTTATATTTGATACTCATATAAGTTTTAGTCCCGGGCAAAATCTGTATAAGCAAAAATTAAACAATAAAATCATCTTTAAAATTTATTTTTTCATAAAAATTTTTAAAAACTTAATTATTTTACTTTGGATGAATTTTTGGAGATTAAAAGAATTTTGTTACTCGCCAGCCTTTCACTAATTTCAAAAGACTTTTTGCTACTGACGGAGAAGTAAAGCTTGTTGGAAAAACTCCTCGGGTGGAACAGAAATTTTTATTCCGGTATTTGCGCCTCGTTGCTACGCAAAAGTTTTGATTGCACTTTCCGCAGCAAGAGAAGTGGCAAACTTTTCCGCGGCGCTGCCCAAAGTGGAATTTAACGTCTTTAAATATTTATAAAGCAGATTAGCAAACGAATTGTGACGTAGCGGCCAGAAATGCATAATTCATTGCTCGCCTTCTGTTTCTTTTGGCCTCTCGCAGAGTTTTGGAATTTTATTAATCCAAAGGTGCCTTTGTGGAGGTAGGTTTGCTTGCAATGCCTGCCTCTTTTTTATTATCATCCTGGAATAATCAGTCTTTTTACTCTTTTTCAATTGATGGATTCATCACTCATCGCTTTTCCATCAAATTTTTCTTTAGTGATGAAAACTTTCAACAGAATTTTATTAATGTGCAAAATTGAGTTAATTTTCGTGTAAAGCTCATAAATTTTATCAAAGTTGAGAATATTGAAAATTACCAACAATGACAAACTTTGCTTGTCAAATCGAATAATTTAGCTGAAGTTTGAGGAAAATAAGTTACTAAAAAAATTAAATATTCTGCTTTAGAACTTTTATTATATAATATGAAAAATTAAATAAATGAAATTTAAAAATGGGAAATAATTCAAGCAGTTTCTGAAAAATTTGAACATATGTCATAAAAAATCAATGTTTTTGATTTTTCAAAATTAAAGATGGGAAATAATTTTGCAACTTTTTAAATTCCAGAAGTTCCTGAAAGCTTTTTTTGCAGAAAGATTTGCATAATATCAATATTTAGCATGGTTTAATATTGCTCTATAATCTTTTAGAGAGAAAAGCTAAGAAATTTTAAATTATGATTTTTATCCTCCGATAATTTTTTTAATAAATTTATGCCCCTTTGTTATTAAATCAGTGCTATATTAAATTCTCGAATAAAATAATAGTATAGTGCTCTTTTATTACTTTAATTGTGGAAATTTTGAAAAAAAAAAATCACTCTAGAAGACATTTTTGAGACCTTTTGATTTATTATGATATTTACATAGGACGTTTGTAACTATAAAATGAGAAAAAAGTGTCGCTTTTTTAAAAGAGGGACTTTTTTACCATCCAAAGTGATCATCTTTTTCTCCAACCATAACTCAAGAATTTCATATATTCTTCCCTCTGCTGCTAGAGCGCACTTCTCGCTTTTTGATCGATTCCTTTCTTGCAGCAGCGAGACCCATCTGTTCGCTCCCAAGTACAAAGTAAACCTTTAGGTGAAAAGCCCTTAACGAGATGTGCGCGTAAATCGGATTCTTCTCGCCTTTTGCCTCCATACGTTCATTCGCAACAAGTGCTCGATACACAACGGAGAGGCATAAATTCACACACGCCCGATGCATTCCGGCGGCACTTGCACACAATTAGGTCAAACGAATTCCGAGCTCGGCATTTGCGCGACGACGGACTGCTGCGATTACACAGCAGTGCAATTAATTTCGTCCTCCTCGGGGAACTTGATGGAATACCGCGCCGCGCACTACTCGCTGGCTAAGTCCCGAGGGCAGGCAGCAGCAGAGTGCCTGCGATCTCTCTCACGACTGACGAGAGACGCCGGCACGGATTGTTTATGAATAAAATTGTAACTGAACATTGCGAGGTTGACAGGGCTCCCTGCGGATGTAAGCCAATGTCAGTGTCACTTCACTTCACTTGAATTTGATTAGCTATAGATTTTGTTCGGTTCGAATTTGATGTTTTATTTTTCTCACAGTCGCGAGAAAAAATATGCCAGAAGCTAATGCAAGCCTCGAAACCCTGTAGAATAAATTTTTGCTACTTAATCATTGTGTAAAATAATTTTATTTTTGGGAGTTTTTTTGCTGATTTTCCGTATTGATTCATCATCGTTATACTTATTCACCTAATTATTGTTTTTTTTTTAATTTTTCCAATTGTTACAACCACATAGTTGAAATTTTTTAATTTTTGTTTGAAAGAAAATGAATTTCTGGTCATCATGGGCATCATGAGAGAATTTTTACTGAAATTTCCAAGATATGTAAAGATAAATAGTACCCCGTCCGCTGCAATGATCCTTGGTTGATTATTGATTTATTTTCTATATTAAGAGTCAACCAACATTTCATGGTAATATAGTGACAGGCCACTGAAGCTGTTGGATTTTAATTTGACATTTTTACCTTAGACCTTTAATACTGGAGAAATTAAATTTTTATTATGTTACAATGAGGTTTATATACAGTTTATTTTGTATATAAATTTGGCTAATATTTTTATGACGTTTTTTCTCATATGCTTACACAAAGGTTCAAATAATTCAGCTTTTATTATTTTGAATAATAATTAATAATAAACATTACAAATTGGTTTTTTTAACGCTTCACTTCAACAAATCTTCTACTTAAATTATTTAATGATGCCAAATTATTAAAGTAATTAAAAATATTTTATGTTAGTTAAATAAGTTATAAATAATAATATTGTCATTAAATTTTCATGTTAATCATGTGTAATTATATGGTTAAAAACAACACTACAAGAATAATAATAATCTTTTACATAATAATGTATGCTACTTTCAAATTCAAGTACATAATCATTAAATTCACAATGAGATTTATATCAATTTCAGCTTTTTCAATTTAATGTTCATTCATTAAAATAAAATGAAGCATTTATTTTTCAATAATTTAAATTTGTGATATCTTTCTCGCATAATTCTTAGAATCGTTTAATTGCCCAAATGAAAACGGATATCGCACTGCGCAATCGTTTTTGGGAATCATTCGCAGAACCACTTTCAAAGCACTTTTGACGTTTCTCTCATTGAAATACGATACTCTCCTTCAACATTTTTCCTTGAAAAGAAAGCAATCTGATCTCGCAAAGGAACGGAAAGTTGAAGCCTGACGGCGGGAGGAGTAAATTAAATTCCGCGCCATGCGCTTACTAGACGCTGCTTGCATTATTAATTCGCTAAATGAACGTTAATTAAAGCACACCTCCTTCGTCAGTGCAGCAACGAAGGTGGTTCGCGTCTTTTTGGTTCGTCGCAAAAGAAGTTTTTAACATTTTACGCAGCCCGCAGGGCTAAGAGCTATGGCTGCATAATATATAACAAGATGAGGCGCAGGTAGCATGAAAATAATCACCCGGGGCATAATTCACGCGGAAAATGCGACACCGTATAATTTAAGAGTTCAACCAACTGTGGAGCAACTTTTCCACCGATGCAGGTGGGTTTTAGCGCGAAATCGCAACTGCTGTTGCCAGCAGCGGAGCACGGAGCCATTTGAACGCCACATCAATCTCTGATAAGCGGAAAAAGAAGGTGGCTCGGGAAAGCCAAAAGTGTAAGGTGCGATCCGTGCCCACTGGGAAATTAAGCAGGTGCGGCGCACGTGATCATTCGCTGCTCCTTTGGCAGCCTCACTCGGAACAAGACGTGGGTTTAATAAATAATTTATAATCTTTCATTTCAAATATAAGGGAGTTGTAGAATTTGTATTGATTCAAGATGAGCAAAAAAAAAAACATTTTTTTCTTATTAAATTTTTAAGGAGAAATTTAAAAAAAAAACCTACTTTTACTTTAAAAATAAACTTGCAGATTTGTATTTTTGTTTTCATTCCTTTCCAATTCTCAATAAATTTGATACTAAAATTTGAATTAATCTAAGTGGACTTTTGTGGTCACAAGCATTGTAAATTGTAGCGAAATATTTAGAAAAGCCCTCAGAAAACCCTTTTTTAATTCAATGCATACCGATTTTAAAATCTTTGGACTAATCTAATTAGGCGAATATATAATTAGTGAAAAAGGGAGGTCGCAATTTGCCCACGTAATTAAGTGGGGCCGACACGAGAGCTGACCCGCAGACAAACAACCCAATTACAAGTTGGCCGTTGCGAACGCCATTTCATTGAATTATTCTGAACCCTCGTTAACTCCAGCTAAAGGTGTTTGCCTGTTTGTTGCAGAGGCACCATCAGCCGTCGCCATGATAATCGGCCGGATCCACGACGACCTATCCCTGGTCGCTGCCAGAGAGAAGCTTTGCGCCCACGCAAGGTAAGGGTGTTAACAATTATTCAAATTTTCCACCTAGATTTCTTTTCTTTGGAGGTTGAGAACGTGTTTTTCAATGAAAACGTGCACATTCAGTTAATGTTTTGCAGATGTAATGATTAATGAATGAGTGTGATTTAATGAGTTTGTGCTTCGATTTTTCTGAAAAACCTAATTAACCCAAGTTGATTTTGTAAATTTAAATATTTATATTTATCAAAGGCTTATCATGCAATATATGAATATGCTAATTGTGAGAATTCAATTTTTATTGTGATAAAGAAAAGCCCTGGAATGTTCTTTTTCCTAATAAGGTGAAGAGTTTTTAGCAGAAGTAAATGGTTTTATTGATTACTTAGTCAATTCAAATCGTTACATGAATAGAGAGCAGAGGTCACGTAACTCACGTATATGTTTAAGGAATCGATTTCTAACCACAAATTGCTGGGTCGCAACTATAACTTATTGTGAGCAATAGCGAAATTATTCTTTGTTTCGATTTGATAGGATTTGGCCATTTCATATGCAAAGCTACTTATAGGCATACTTTTTACTTAATTTATCTGAAAATAATTATTTACTCGGTCCATGCAATGCTAAAAATATTTATTAATTTTGATTTAAATAATGCACAATGTGTATAAAATGAGGGAGATATATATCAATAAATTTTTCTTTGATACCGAAAAAAGAAAAAGAAAATCAGGACGAAGATTGCACTTTTTGACCAAATAAAATCATATATAAAGGGGCAGTTTTTACACCGAAATTAAGAAATGGTCGATTACAATAAAACAATGAATCTATCAAGAAGCTTCACCTTCATTGAATAAAATATAAATATTAAATCCAAACCAATATTACATTTACACCATTGTCGATTCAAGTCAGCAAGCACTGAAATCGCAGACACAAACAGGAGAGAGCCCCTGATAAAAAGGAATCAAAAGCAATCAGTTTGGCAAACAAATCGAACGATTTCTGTGCGATTTGCAATAAGGAAGAAACACGATTTTTTTTCCATTTCCAATATAAGCTGCAGCTTCAAGATAAGCCAGGAAAACATGTCACCGCCAAATCGATCTCCGCGACGCAGATTAATCTGGGAGCAAGGATTGGAAGGGAAGTTTGGGGTTTCACTCGGTGAAAATTAAAAAAAGAAGCAGCAAGGCGTGAAAAGAGCGTCTTTATTGAATCGTTGTATAAACCGAGTGGAGCAGGAAGCAGACTTGGGCGGATGATTCAATTTGTCTTGCTCACTCGACGTCCAAAGTTACGAGAGTGTGTCTCTGCGCGGGGGTATACTGTGCCGCCATCAACACCGTGCTCGGGCCATCTGCGACATGTGCACCACATTTCCCGCACTCTTCTTGGCCGAGAGTGTTTTCCGGATAAGAGGCTCGACTTTGGATTTGCCCCAAGGACAAAACCAGCCGACCGGAACGGCTTTGGTGCTGCTGAAATTTTAAACACACTCGCCTCTCGAGACGCTCCATATTTTGCATGAGCACTGAGCTGAAAACCCATTTCGCCCTCAAGATATCCGATATGTAAGGTCTCGGTTTATGATTGAGTGATTTCCCGTTTGCTCTCGCGCAAGTTTCGAGTAGTTTCACAAGTGCTTCAGTAGGGATTGGAAAAGTTCTCATATTTGCTGACATTTTTTCATCACTTCTCTTCCGCAGAATTAACAGAAATATCATAAAACAATCCTAAATATTTTCCGATTGAAAGTTGCATAGATTATAATTCTGAATTATTTTTTAAAATGAAAATAAAAATTAAATTTCCTTCAACCTTGGCAAAAACTATCCTTCTTACAATTTTTTTTGAAATCATTGATGCCCTGAAATTGATTGTTGAGGTCAAGACTCGTACTTTTTTGAGGTAATTTTATCATTTCAACAACAATAGCTATTTTTTGCTGATCAAATTTATGTTTTTCATTTCATCTCGTCATTCGTCTTTGAATCCAAGAATCTGCTCAGGAGGTCAAAAAATTTATTATGAAAAAGGCTTTTTTCTCTCAAGTGGAAAAACATTTTTTGTTTAAATAAAAATATCCTGATTTTTAAATTGTGAACTACGCTTTGAATCTTTAGAGAGATTCAATTCTCTTGCTGGAAAACGCTTTCCAGCGAAACCTTTTATAAACCAGCGAAAAGCGAATCCACAGTAAAATTCACGTCCCTTTCTCTCTGATTCTTTTCTATTCTTTGTGCTTCCAACGCTGGGGCAGCGGTCTGTTGATTTTCTGGCACACCGGGTTTCATCCGGCGCTCCGGTCCTTGTGTTATCTGCTCTTTCACACTCAAATGTACATTCATGCATATGTTTCATGCAAAACACAGACTGGGATAGACAAGGTATAGCAACAAAGACCTTGCTCGCATTGATCCGCCGATGAAATGAGGGTGACGTGTGCGCCTTGAGTGTGTTTCGCCTGATTTTGACACGTGAGAACTCAACGTGCCCCGTTTAGCCCGGCTCTCATTAGTGGCTGCTTCTCAATTTCCTTGATGGCAGCTGAAAAGATTTTTGTCCTATTTCACCGAGGATTTCTTTACACGTCTGCGCCGGGCGAGAAAGTGACACGAACACAGACAACTTGAGGGCACTCGCGATGTCAGCAATTACAAAGAGGCCGGCAAAATAATCCTAAATTTACAAAACAAAATTTGATTGAAGATTTGAAAATACTAAATCTTATCTCAATTTTATTAAAATCCATTAATATTAATCAATTAATGTATTATTTTTGGTATGGATTTGAGGTTTGAGTTTGAAATTGATAATGAATAAAATGAATTAAAATAATTCAAGTAACAAAATTTTATTTTTTATGTAACGCGGAGTTGGCAACTTTTGAAAGTTTTGAATATTAAAATTTCCTCTTAATGTGCACATCATGTTGATATGATGAATCAGATTTTTCCTTGTTGAATCAATAATTTAATTTTCTGAAAAACGAGGAAAAGCCTTCTTGTTCTTCATTTCAAAATGATGATGATAAGGTTTCTTTATTTTTCCATCCATATAAGATATTACAGACATTACAGTTAGTTATTCAGATAATAAAATTTAATATATCACCTCTAGGCCTTCTCTGCCCAATCACACGATCCATATATTAAATGTGATCATTTTGATCATTTTATATTAAAAAAAAAAAAAAAAAACGAGAGAATAACAACCTCAAAATAATCTTACAGTTCCGTACAATATTATAAGTTAACGTTTGCGCCAAATTCATGAAACTTCCTCAATTAAAAAGAACATTAATTATATTCATTAATAAAAAAATGAAAAAACAGCGGTCATTAATTTGAAGGGATTTTCCTTCTTTAATCAATAAAAAATTAAATACTTAAGAATGCTGCAAAAGCTAAATTTTTATCATTCCTCAGGTGAATTATTTTGTTGAAAGAGCCTCAATTTATTTTAATTGGCTGAGGTTTCAAACAAAAATTTTTTATGTAACAAGCTACACAACATGCACAACTTTAACATTATCTCCTCATTATACTAAAATTATTAGCATGATGCTTTCAGTGGCGTACAATTTATAAAATTAGAAACTTGAGTGCGTACAATGGAACTGTTGTTTTGTTGTGCTTGGCTCATTATATTCCCACCAGAACATTCCCTTCTCTGAATCTATCTTTGTAACGCAGATGAGGCCGGATGATATCGCATTACTCGCAATTTGAAGCCAGCAACCTCGCGATGTTATTTTAACCACGAAAACAACAACTGTTTGCTTTTCATTTGCCAAACTGTGCGGTGCTGCGGATGGTTTTCATTTCCACGTTTCGGTTGCGAACGTACCGGGTGAAGATTTGGGTTTAATTAACCTCGAAATGTGCATGGCTTAGCAGTTCAGAGAAAGGGGTAGAAAAAAATTTGCAATCCGACTTGAAATTTTTGCTCTTTCTCAATTTTCATGACACTATTGTTTGCAATTTAAGGTAATAACACACCCTACTGAAATATTATACGCTAAAGGCAGGTGCAATTTAGCAAAATCGCGAGGAACTTCGCATCAGCCTTCTCTTGTTTCAGCCGGTGGCAATACAAACAATGAACTTTTCCCCAAAACTCTAGGCTGAATTTGGCTAATGGCGTAAGTATAGAGGGCAAGCAACTGTTAAAAAGTTCTTTTCCAAATATTAGAAAATAATAAAGATTTTCTTTGGACAATTTTTAAATAACTTTTTACAATTAAAAAAAATAATAATAATGAAATGTAAGCTCTGCAACCAAAATAATTTTGAAATACATATTAAAATAATGCCATGTTAGTATTAATATTTTAACTAATTTTTTTTTAAAAAAAATCGCCATTTCGGATTTGATCAAAAGACTATTTTAGTGGAATGCCCAATAAAATATTGTGAATTCCACGTTTTCTGATAACTTCAATTTCCCGAAAATATTTTTGCTTTTTTCCACCTCAGCTCCGCGAATTCCAATAACGCGCTGTTTTATTTTTATACCTCTCGTCGCCGTACCTGGCGAAAAAAAAATATATAAAAGCGGTGCGCTCAATATTGAAAATTAATGGACGCCCGCGTCGCTCGCGCACGAAACAAGGCGGATGCATGCATGTGGTGCGAAGTTTTAATCCTGTCTCGTCCCATATGGCACTCGGAACACGCATATTAAAACAAAAGCTGCCTTTTTCCCCGGGTGCGAAATGAATGGCGCGGAAGCCGTTTTAATGTGCGAGCTAAAACTTTTTTAATCACTGGCAAGAATCATACGTGAAATATCTCTCTCGGCCGGACCTTTTTGGATTTCACGTGGGCAACGGAAAACCGGATACGTGTGCCAGCCCAGAGATTAAACCTGACGTCAGAAAAACGCGGCTGAATTTTTGTTTATCGCCCCGAAAAAGCAGAAAAAAAAGAGAAATAAAGTAATGGCGCGTCAGTGAAACGGGCTTTGTCGACAGAAATCCGCCGGTTTGGTTGGTTCAATACTTTTGCACGTTTTCTCTATCT